CGATGTCCCACTATGGAGAGCACCTGAACCACTCATAGATGTAAGCTTGCTGAGTAAACCTAAAGATAAATATAGTGGAAAAGAAGTAAATGCGATTTTAAATAATAACTATTATTCAACTTTACAATTTTTTACAGATGGGTCCAAAGAACCTAGTAGTAAAAAGATAGGAATAGGTGTTAATATTCCAGAGTTCAAAGTAAATATTAGTTTAAAACTGTCCAATAATCTATCAGTATACACTGCAGAGTTAACAGCTATAATTATAGCATTACAATGGGTTAAACAAGTCAGACCAAACAAAGTAGTAATCTGCTCAGATTCATCTTCAGCCTTAGTTAGTATAGCAAACTCAAAATCACATAGAGAGGATTTAATAACAGAAATCTATTATCTTTATATCGATTGAAGGAAATAGGAGTAGTCGTTTATTTCTGCTGGGTTCCATCACATATTGGGGTATCTGGTAATGAAGTTGCTGACAAATTAGCAAAGGAAGCACCAAATAAGCAAGAGGTGGAGGTACATGTACCTCTGGGGAAAAGAGAGGCAAAATCGATTTTAAAGGAAAAACTAATAAATAAATGGCAAATTAAATGGGATAATAGTGTAGCAGATGTTTTGCATTAAGCCTTGGTGTACGCCCATTACTAACTGCGGGTTGTTAAGAGGTGTATAATAGCCTTTCGGAGAATAGTGGAAGTTGTGTCATCGTCCAGCTGACTCCCTGTGGTGGGCGTGTCACTGCCGTGCGTTTGGTATGTAGTGGCTGTTTAAGCCTTATTTTCGCTTTCGTTTCAATTTGTGTTGGGTTTGATTCAGTTTTTCTTGCTCTGGAAGGCTGGTGTCTGTTCGGCTGCTGTTGCACCATAGAGTGGCTACTGTGGGGCGTTGGGAGCTTTGAGAAGTCGCGTTTCCTAGAGCTGAACTCTCCCTCGTGATTCTGTTGACACTTATGCGCGTTCCCGTGACTGCTGTCTTCCCAATCGGTAAGTAGGGTGCTACCGCTCGTACATTCTGTGCATATCAAACTACTAGGAGTAGAAACTGATTTTTGTTATATTTTCTAGTTAGTTATTAGTACGGACGCCTGGCTTTACCGGAGGGATGACTGGCACCTCGTGTAGCGATTGCACTGTGGATTGAGCGTCTTCACCTGCCCTTGACACCTGCTGGATGCTGCTGTTTTGTTTCTGTTAATTCAGTTTTGATTCTGTTTTGTTTCTGTTAATTGTTTGTCGTTTATTTATTTTCGGTGCTTTTTGTATCAGTTTTTTTTCTACATTTACAAAATGGGAACACCTAAAACAAGTGTTGTCTAACTGACTGCTTGGCTTGCTTCTATACCTGCATTCTGGTGCGTTGTCCTGTTCCAATATTGTGACCTCGTGCTCTAACTTTTACTACATACTATTTGGGATTCTTTTTAGTGGGGGCCTGTCACCTCCGTGCCCCTGGGCGGCTGGTAGCTGATCAAGTAGTCTGTTTTTGATACCCCTGTGAGCCCATTTAATATTGTTTTCTTAAATGTTTTATTTCATTCCTAATTGTGGATTTCTTCTCTCCCTAGGAGCTGGGGGTGTCTAGTACGGGCAGTCGGGCTGCTGTGTGGCGTGGCTCTTTTGGTGAATTAGTCTTTTGCTCACTTGTGTGCATTGAAGTTCACTGTGTGGTGTTTGTGGAATCTAAGAGTGTGAATTTGTGGGTCATTCTCGGGCCCAGTGCCTAGCCTGCCCGACTTGGTAAGCCCCAGCTCCTGCGGTTGGATGAGGATTTGTTTTTTGTATTTTGTAACCGCCTTCTAGTGCCTTTTTTAAAGCACATGTGTCTGTCATTTTAATATTTGTGGTCCAATGAGAAGTGCATTGTAATAAAAGGAACTCTATTTTTCTACATCCACGTCTCATTCCCTTTTTGTCAGATACGAACCTGTGTTTTGTGTCCCAGGTAATGTACTGGGTGGCGTAGTCGAGCTCTAATTGCAATAGGTTGTGTTAATTTGGCCGCAGTGTGCCAGTTATTGTAGTGGTCTGGCTACCAACAAAAGCCTTAACCCCCCCCTTCGCGCCACAATAGTAATACTGGAAGATGGCACTATAGTATTATACAGACAGTAGGGACAACACTAAATCAAGGAAGAGGTGTGGTTATTAAGACTGGGACACACAGGGTTAAATGCAACACTTGCGTTGATGGGTTTACATGAGGATGGGAAATGTGATGTATGTGGTGTAACTGAAAATGTGGATCATGCACTATATGTAGCAAGTATAATAAACATCACGATATGTTATTCAGTCAGTGTGGGGAAGATAAAACAATATATAAAATTATTCTAGGAAAAGGTATAATAGATTGGCAAGTGTATAGAGCGTTTATTAGGTATATAGAGTATTCGGGTTTAGATTATAGTCTAATATTTATGGATGAGAGTATACTCAATCATTGTCATAAAGGCCCTTTATGTTAGAGGAGCTGAACATGCAGCGCTGACATGAGTATGTGGTCTAGATGCAAAGATTGGAGAATATGAAACATCCAAGTTTTTTTTTTTTTTTTTTTTTGTCCCTTTCCCTCCCTCCTCGTTTCTTTCTGTTGCCCTTTCTAATATTCAGACCCATCATCGGAGTAAGATTCGGTACAGTAGGTGGCGATAATGCTTTTAATGAGTCAGTCGCCATAAAACAGAAAGAAGAAGAAGAAGAGTCAGCACACAGGCAGAAGAAGAAGCGGTGTGTGTCGTGTTTACAGTCTGTCTCGCGTCCTGCGTTTACACTACTTCATGTAAAGTCCCGCATGTATCCTCCTGCATGTCGTGTGATTGAATGTGAACCCCCGCATGTCCTTTGGGCCCCGCATGTCCCTGTCTGCTGTGTTCAGAGTGTTTGTGCGGGTGTATTACTGAACTCCTGATGTGACGCAGTTGAGATGAAATCTGTGATCAGGAGTCGCTGCTCAGTGAATCAAAGTTCTCCAATATATTTCCTATGATCTTCAATATGATCATGTCTGCTGAATCCCGCATTTAAAAACGCTTTACAGCACCGCTCGACGCGGATCGCTTGATGCAGTGTCTGCGCGGTCATGGTCGCGTGCATGAGCGGCCAAGGGCGTTCCCGAGTAATTATTCCCTATATGGGGCGTCTGCAGACTTGGATCAGCTTTCGCCCCTGTTGTTCCTAATGCGTCCAGTCGAGGGGATGAAAGAAAGATACATGGCCAAATAAAACATTTGAAGTCAACGCTCCCAGATTATTAAATGTCCTGTTCATAAATATATAAATTTTTTTATTTAATTAGGCTAAATATGAACGCCAAGTTAATGTTTCAGAAAGAGAGTTATAAACTCACTAAATCAGTGGTTCTCAATCTTTTTTTCATCAAGTACCACCTCATAAAAAATAGTCTCTCCAAGTACCACCAAAATGAGCAGTATTGAATTACAATAGCCCAGTAAAGCAACTCTGCAAAGTTAAAAAAAAAACGTGGCAGATTACCACAGAAATATAGGCTATATGTCATATTATATACATCATTTTTGATAAATTTTGAAATGTGTATAGCATGTACATGACATATTTCACAGTTTGAGAACCACTGTACTAGATAATATGCAGAATTTATACACTCACCAAATAATTTCACATATGCAAAAGCCCAATTGCAAATTAATTTAGATTAATTTAATTAGAAAAATTACAAACACTAATAGTTCAATAGTGTAACGGTTAATTGTAGCCTAGTTATACGTCTTCATATAGAGATATGGATTTTGTTGTATTGTTTATATATAAAGTTGCATTTTGAAAATGACAAAATTATAACCAAACAATACAGTGTGATATGGAGTAATGATGTGCTTTGATAAGAATGCAGTGGTATTGACTACCAGACAACGTTTAGACAAACAATTCCCTACTTTCTACAATTCCAAGGACCATTTACCTACCTGACAAACAAAACCTCAGACAACATTATTTAAAAAAAAAAAATAAAATTATTGACAACTATATCACAAGAGATTGCCAGTTTTCTTTAAATGAAGCTGAATCCTTGCGTCAAATTCTTGCTCACTGAAAAATAAACAAATAAAGTCATGTATAAATACTCTGCAAAAATCCTTTCCTCACTTAAGAGTTTCTGACTTGTTTCCAGACCGAGTATCTAAACATTCTTAATCCTCAGAAACAGTAAAGAATAGAAAATGAAAAGCAAAAAACATTTCATGCCATTTTATATATTATCTGGACCTATGCAGAACATATATATATATATATATATATATATATATATATATATATATATATATATATATATATATATATTTTTTTTTTTTTTTTTAATATTTGATTTATGATTTAAGAATTATAACTTAGGTATAACAAAAGGACCAAGTCATTATTATTTATTTTTTGTTACTTACAGCTACAAATTGTGATTCTGACTTTCCCGTATTTAACATATTTAATTATTTTCTTTGTAACAAATTGTTACAATCAATATTATGAAAGTATAAATGATGAACAATATGAATGCATGTGCAATGCAAACTTCATTGCTAATATATAAAATGTACTGTATGTACAAAAATTAGTAGACATTAGTAATTGTGATTTTCCCTAATCATTTATATATATGATTTAATTGTTAAGTTCATTTTAATTATATATATTGTAATTGTTTAAACTAGAAAATGATTGCATTATTCATTCATTTATTCATTCATTCATTCATTTTCTTTTCGGCTTAGTCCCTTTATTAATCTAGGGGCGCCACAGTGGAATGAACCGCCAACTTATCCAGCATGTTTTTACGCAGTGGATGCCCTTCCTGCCACAACCCATCTCAGGGAAAGAATTGCATTATATTAAATGTAATTGAATACAATGCAATTAAAAAAAAAAAATATATATATATATATATATATATATATATATATATATATATATATTTATATCTGTTTAGATCAATTTCAATATTTAAGAAAATCAAATTTGGAGGTATAACGTAGTGTAGTTGTAGTGTAGATTTTTTCTGACAACCCAGACCACGCAAGTGTATTGTTTAATCTATGAGAAAATATATATCTTTAAATTAATTATTAGATATATAATACTTACTCCCTTGCTGAGACAAAAAAAATAAATAAAAATAAAATTAACCTACATAACACACTTTCTCACGTAGGTTAATGTTCATTTACTTTTTTTGTTGAGGTAGAACATGTAGTTAACTAACATTTGTCAAACTAACACACTGCTGTTATATTACACCAATTTGTTTGTGTTGACATACACTCATATCGACCTTAATCTAATAAAAAAAAAATGTTTAAGTTTCATGTTTGCTAATGTTTTAAACACGTATTTAACACACCTCTTCATCGTGTTTGCGCTTGGTTGGTGTGATAAAGTTCTGGAGACTTATAATAATACTGTACTGCCTCCCTCTACTGGACGCATCAAGAGCAACAGGGGTGTAAAACTGCCCAGGCCATAAAACTGCTTGCGCCGTAGATCTGTCTGGATCCAAGTCTGCAGTCTTCCCCACCTCGAATATTTCGTGCAACAGCGCCCCCTGGTCAGTGATCACAATTTTCGGCACAACACCGCCCTTCAGAAACGAAAGTGAAAGTGTTTAGTTGTTGTGTTGCAGTTTTAAACAACCAGAATTCATCATTTACCAACACAGAACAGCTTTAAATCTTTAATGTCTGGACTAAACCTGTAAGCTTTATGTGAATGTGTGTATGCTGTTATTATAATCAAACGGATGACGCTGTGATTCTTCATTAGTTTACTCGTGATGAGCTTCTGGATTTGAGTGTCTCAGCTGCTGATCTATTCCTGCATTCAGCTGAATTATGAAGGCTGATCAATGACTGGAGATCTGTGATTGTTCATCAGTTTCTGCTGGAGATCAAACTCTTCAGATCCATCATGGAGGACACACACACACATGATGATCTGGATTTGTCTACAGGATGCAGGTATTAGTCCTACACTTGACATTTCATATGATTATTTTCTACAGGATATTATATTTACTCTCTGTTAGTTGTGTTTTTAATCTGTCTGAATATTTAACACACACAGTCAGCAAGATTGTGTACAATCATCATGAAAAGTATCATGAAGTGCTGTTTAAACAGTGTTTTAATGATGAAATGTTGAGTAAATCTGCTGTGTTGACTCCAGTGTGTGCAGCGCTGAACTTTAATCTTCTCTGTTTTAGTTCAGTTCATCAGAAGAGAGCAGAAGCAGAGCCCAGCTGTGTGTCTATGAAGAGTGACGCGTCTATGGATCACCCATTGTTTTTCAAGAGTGGAAACACAGGAGCTGCTGTCAGGTAGATCATCTCTTTAATATCTGCAACTGATGAGTATTTTCATAATAAATGAATCAGGTCATTAGTGTTGTGGATCTGTTGGGTTTCAGATGTTAGATGTTGTATCTGAGCTCTGCAGGATAGTGCTTGAAGATCTCCGCTTTACACTTCAGGCCACAATTGATGGTGTTAACAAACCAATCAGCGCTTTATTAATAGTGAGTGAGGTAGAAGGTGGGTTTAGGTTTTGGGTAGGGTTAGGGATCCACAATAAGATCATACTGTATGACTACTAATGAGCAGTTCATATGTTCACATTCCACAGATAATAAGCCGGTAGTTAATAGTATGAATTGTGAGCTAAACTAAAGTGTTCCCGATCTCCTGCCATAAAGGGCTTTTCCTGCACACTTTCCCCTGCTGTTTCTGTGCTGTACTGATCAGCCATTCCTCTGATCTGAGTCTGTTTTCACTGAAGCGCAGTCATCATCATGTTGTGTTGGCCTCATAGATGCTGCTGATCAACACATTTGGTTTCTAGAATTGATATTTCTCGAGTTCTCCTGCTCATTCAGTCATGATAGATGATGGTAAATGAACTGTCTTGCTGTCCTCAAAGTCTGGACTGGAGCTCTGCAGACAAACCCCCGATGAGTGACCTTCTGCAGACTGAGTGATGAGGAGGAGGATAAGGGGAGCTGCTGGAGGCGGGAATAACAGTCAGCTGACACAGTGCAGTTTATACTGCTGCTTATATAGTCATGTGATGATGATTGACACGCCTGCATGATTAAGCTCCTCCCACACCTACACTGTGGACTTCATTCAGTGATTTGATGATTAGTTTCAGCTCTAATCTGCTCTAATAGTGCTGCATTTCTGTTGGGCTTTCTCTACTAGAAATGAGCCTTGATCTGTGTTTGCTGATATTTTCCACATTCAGACAGTTTCTGTTCAAATATAAAGGAAATTAATTTAAGTGTTTTTATAATGAAGAATGATTAATATCAGGTTTGTGCAGTGTGTGCAGCGCTCAACTTTAATCTTCTCTGTTTTAGTTCAGTTCATCAGAAGAGAGCAGAAGCAGAGCCCAGCTGTGTGTCTATGAAGAGTGACGAGTCTATGGATCACCCAATGCATTTTAAGAGTGAAAACACAGGACCTGCTGTCAGGTAGATCATCTCTACACATACATGATCACACTGCAGCATTTATATGATCCTGTGTTTCTAGAAGATCACAAATTATCTTTGAATTACAATTACAGGAGACTTTAAAACTAAATGTCCACACACTCACATCTGATCATTAGTGTAGGACTGAGGTAGTAATAAGTGACTGAAGCATTAATACTCAAACTGTTAGAGTTAGTAGAGTGAGTTTACAAGTTTATACAATAGTCAGCAAAGTGTGGGAAAAGAAAGAGATTTTAGACACTGGTAATGAACAAGTTGTGTGAGACAAACACACCACATTTCACCTGATATATAATTATGGTCAAAAAGAGATACTGATTTAAGATAAAAATGTATTCAGATCTTCTTTGTTTATTGTTATCTTAATAAAGTTCAGCAATATTACAGTGCTGCTACTGAACTCTGAGAGCATACGCTTGTATGATCTGGAGATTAATGTAAGAATTAAAAACTATATTCAGTCAGAAAGTGAGCTGACAGAAGACAGAAGCAGAGCAAACACATGCTGAAGATTCAGACAGCAGAGATGCAGAGAATTATGATTTTCTTATTGATGGCAAAACATTTAACAGGTATAAGATCACAACAACCTTCAGAACTGTAGATGGCACAATGCGACACCAAATCAAATGTTCACTCAAATGATCACTCTATTGAATAGGCATTATCAGTGGTTATCAGCTGATAGATATGGTTAAATAGGGACCTTCTGCACCTACTTGTAGGCTTAGTGGGCAGTTATCATCCATCCACATTACCAGTGTGTGCTGTTTAAAGTGATCAGTGTGTGGTGTTTACAGTGATCAGTGTGTGGTGTTTACAGTGATCAGTGTGTGATGTGTTTAAAGTGATCAGTGTGTGGTGTTTAAAGTGATCAGTGTGCGGGGAGTTTAAAGTGATCAGTGTGTGGTGTTTAAATGATCAGTGTTTGGTTTTTAAAGTGATCAGTGTGTGTGGTGTTTAAAGTGATCAGTGTGTGGTGTTTAAAGTGATCAGTGTGCGGTGTTTAAAGTGATCAGTGTGTGGTGTTTAAAGTGATCAGTGTGTGGTGTTTAAAGTGATCAGTGTGTGGTGTTTAAAGTGATCAGTGTGTGGTGTTTAAAGTGATCAGTGTGTGGTGTTTAAAGTGATCAGTGTGTGGTTTTTAAAGTGATCAGTGTGTGCTGTTTAAAGTGATCAGTGTGTGGTGTTTAAAGTGATCAGTGTGTGCTGTTTAAAGTGATCAGTGTGCGGTGTTCAAAGTGATCAGTGTGTGGTGTTTACAGTGATCAGTGTGTGGTGTTAAAAGTGATCAGTGTGTGGTGTTTAAAGTGATCAGTGTGTGCTGTTTAAAGTGATCAGTGTGTGGTTTTTAAAGTGATCAGTGTGTGCTGTTTAAAGTGATCAGTGGGTGCTGTTTAGAGTGATCAGTGTGTGGTGTTTAAAGTGATCAGTGTGTGGTGTTTACAGTGATCAGTTTGTGGTGTTAAAAGTGATCAGTGTGCGGCGTTTAAAGTGATCAGTGTGCGGTGTGTTTGAAGTGATCAGTGTTTGGTGTTTAAAGTGATCAGTGTGTGGTGTTTAAAGTGATCAGTGTGTGGTGTTTAAAGTGATCTGTGTGTGGTGTTTAAAGTGATCAGTGTGTGGTGTTTAAAGTGATCAGTGTGTGGTGTTTAAAGTGTGTAGTGTGTGTTTTGTAAACAGTGCGGGGTGTGTTTTTTATAATGAGCGGTGTGTGTTGTATAAAGAGATCTGTGTGTGGTGTTTAAAGAGCTCTGTGTGTGGTGTTTAAAGTGATCAGTGTGTGGTGTTTAAAGTGATCAGTGTGTGGTGTTTAAAGTGATCAGTGTGTGGTGTTTAAAGTGATCAGTGTGTGGTGTTTAAAGTGATCAGTGTGTGGTGTTTAAAGTGATCAGTGTGTGGTGTTTAAAGTGATCAGTGTGTGATGTGTTTACAGTGATCAGTGTGTGGTGTTTAAAGTGATCAGTGTGTGGTGTTTAAAGTGATCAGTGTGTGGTGTTTAGAGTGATCAGTGTGTGTGGTGTTTAAAGTGATCAGTGTGTGTGGTGTTTAAAGTGATCAGTGTGTGGTGTTTAAAGTGATCAGTGTGTGGTGTGTTTAAAGTGATCAGTGTGTGGTGTGTTTAGAGTGATCAGTGTGTGGTGT